CGAGCAAGGGCTTATCTAGGTCTTCGAGCACCTTGGCATTGCGTCTGCTGAGCTCTTCTCCTGGCCCCACGGGGGTGGAGAAGAACAGACGATCTTGCTCTTCGAGAACAGGCAGGTTGCCCGTCTTGGGGTCCGGAGCATAGGCACCGAGAACACGAGGGACCGAATGAGTCAGGGACATGACATATGTTGGGGATCTTTGAAGGAGTGTGACTTCGATTCCGCGGCGGGAGCAATCAAAGGCGGTGTCGAAGCCGGAAGATGAGGTCCCAACCACGCAGACCTTCTTGAAACCCCTGGAGGAGTCGTGGGCGGTGGAGTGTCGAATTTCGCCCTTGAAGTCCTTCATGCCCGGCACGAGAGGCATCGAAGGAAGACCACAAAGCGAGGTGGCCACGATTAGCTGCTTGGGGTGAAGCACACGAGTATCCTTGCCTTCCTTGTTGATTGTGATGGTCCAGTTGCCCTCCTCGTCTTGCTTAGCGTCTGTGACGGTAGACTTGGTCCAGATGTTGAGGTCTAGAGCCGAAGCGTACCACTGCATGTACAGACCCTGCTTCTGAGCCGGGGTGTAAGTCGGCCAGCCCTTGGGGTAGGGGAAGTACGGCAAAGCATCAGGCCAGTGGGGGAAATGGAGGGAAAGGTATTCATAACGCTTCCTCCAGATGTCCCCGATTTCATCTTTCTCGATGATCAAATTGTCGATCCCAAGCGCTTTCAGGCGAGCCGCCATAGCTAGTCCACTGCATCAAGAGAGCCAAAGGTTAGCGATACACTGACTGAGAAGCAACAAAAAAAAGCCTTAAGAGTAACCTACTTTTGGCCACCGCCGATGATGAGGATTTCAGGGTTGGCAGAGTCTACATCTTGAGCTCTCTGCTTTTCCCAGCTGATTAAGCCAGTCATATGCCCATCGGCTGGAGGAAGCTCGGGAAACTGGAGAAGTTCCTCGGCGACAGTGTGCATGGTGTAAATCTTCCAGCCTTGCTTGGTGAGCACGGCGTTGATGACAGCAGAAGCCTTGACAATTTCTGTCTCAAAAGACACAACAAATTGCAACTGGGCATAGTCGGGGTAAGGCCTGTCAACCTTGGGTGCAGGGGCGAGGAATCCAAAGTTTCGAGCCTTTGTTTGGGGGAATAAGTCGCTTGCAGCTTTCAGAATAGCAGCTTGAAAGTTAAAAGTGCGGAAATCCCATGTGTAAGACAGCTTGTCACGCCATACGCCTAAACGAGAATGGGTTAGGGCCAATTTGAATTCAACTTTTGTGATTGTCCCGTCGTTCTAGAAGTAGGTTCAAGACAGATGTGGACTCACCATATTCAAGGAACATGTCTGTGAAAGCTTGGGCGTCCCCGGCTCCCATGGCTTTTGATAGATTCCTAACTATCCCCTCCGCCTCCACCTGAGCATTGCAGTCGGACGGGACCTCAATACCAAGCACATCGGTGGTGGGAAGTGCATGATTGTACTTGAAGTCATACATGAAATCATCTGCAACGGGGGGCTTGGGGATCTCATGATGTGTGACAGTGACCTCTGACTTGGCGTCGAGAGCTCGGCCTTCGATAACAGGGACAGACTCAACCACTGTAGAAGCCATTGCGATGTACTCCTAGGTTGGCTTGAGGAAAAGAAAATTGAAAAGGTAGAGTTGGGAGTAAATTTGTACCTATCAACGCCGAGTTTCGAGGTATTCTTATAGAGTTAACGGATGGCATATGCAGCACAAAGGTCCAAAAAGAGCAGTCAACTCTTTTCCTCTCACATGTTCATCGTACGTTTTCCATCGCCCTGCCCGCCAATCAATCCCCAAAGGGCATGATTACTGTGCATTCCTAGAGATTCTCAAAATGTGGCAATTCCCGGAAGTGGAAATTCTGCCCGGCTTCCTGGTCTCACCCCACCAAGCCAATCGATGCTGTAGAGGCTTTGCGCTCCCACAAGCGTTGAGAGCGGGTGGGGTGTTTGTTCTGATATTCGGATGAAATTCCCAGAGAAACCGAATTAAGTTTGTTTCACGCGGCGGATTAGCACATTTGCACCCAATCCAATTGCTAAATCTCAAGTTGGCTTGTCCCAAAATCTGGGGCTGCTCTGGGGTATCACGTGCCCACCACGTCCGCCTTTCATTCCATAGTGTCGGCGGGAAATTTCCTATTTGGGTAGTTTGCAATCTCGGTATGATTTCAATCGCAGGTCTCTTATGAAGAGAATCGGCGACCTCATGCTTGGCTTGGTAGCGAAATCTACGAGATTTCTCCAACCCCACGATTTACTCTCCGATTCTTGCCTGTCTTGGTGATTTGCCATCTATTTCCCCAGGTAATCCCGGCCAGCCGAAACACTTCCTTTCAGCAGCTGTTGAGCTAGTTGTAAGGAGACAATAGACGATCAGTAGACTCTGAGAAGATATTCGCCTTGAAGCAATGTTACCTGGAGGGGAACTCTGTTGCTTCGCGGAGAGAATTTCCTTTTCCAGAGCCCCAATATCCCGATATAGGAATCTATTTACCACTTTTAAGCATTTTCGAAACTTCGGGGCCGCCAAATTCCCCGCTTGGGACATAATTCGCCTTTGATGAGAAGCTTGTGACCCCAAGTATTTGCTTCCTAAAGGTAAAATCCTATGTTCAAGTGGACACCCCCCAAAATACTGCAGTTTTAACTCGAGGCGGGGGGTCATCAAATACCTCGTGATGAGAATGGCTAAGCCGATCCTAGAGTATTAAGATCGCCATTCACTCTGCCGGGGTCATGTCAATACCCCAAACATTATATATCACATGCACAACCGCTTGTCTATACCATATTCTCACCTCTATCACCTATCCCCTAATTCACATTCCCTATCTTTGACAACAATAACGCCCCACGAAGCCCAAAACCTAAGATCACTGTCCGTCAGATATCACCACAATGGTTTCTGAGCTTCGTCGCCTTAAATTTGCCCTATTCGGCTTGGGCCGTCTGGGTGTTATTCGTGCCAATATCCTTGCCTTCCAACAACCTCTAATTGAACTGGTCGCTGTCTGCGATACCAAGCCTGGCACTGACAAATGGGCCGCAGAGAATCTCCCCAGCAACGTCAAGCATTTCACCGATCCGGACGAATGCTTGAGGAACAGCGGAGCTGAGGCCATCCTCATTTGCACCGCAACCGCTACTCATGCCCCCCTAATCATCAAGGCTATCGATCTGGGTTTACATGTCATGTGCGAAAAGCCCATTTCTGTGGATGTCGTCACAACAGCTGCTGTGATCGAGAAAGTTTCATCCCGTCCTGATCTCAAGTTTCTGGTCCCTTTCACACGCAGATGTAAGTATCCGTGCTGAAATGTACCCTTTCTGCCAATAGAAGAAATCATAAAGTTTTGCAAGGCTGATTATTTGCAGATGACAAGTCTTACCGTGAGGCGAAGGCTTTGGTTGAGAGTGGCGAACTCGGTGATGTCCACGCCGTTGAGACTTTTATGAGCGACGTGCAAGATCCTGCGGGTAAGTATCCGATTACTATTGTCTGAATACTACGCGACACGTAATAACCTTTATTCTTCCTTGAACATAGGCAACTTCGTAGCATTTGCTGCACACTCTGGTGGTATCTTTCTTGATATGGGCATCCATCATGTAAGCGTCATGTCCTAGATTATCTTCTTCGGCCGCGCAGCCAAGATTTGCTAACTAGCACTTTCTGCATCACAGATTGATACTGGCCGGTATCTGCTTGACGTCAAGTCGGGCCTTAAAAATCCCAAGAAGCAAGTCAAACGGGTCGTTGCGATGGGCCAGCGAGCCGTCTATGATGACCTGGCTGCATTTGGCGATGCCGATAATGCATATGGTTTAGTCGAGTTCTCCAACGGTAGAATCTGGACCACTCATCTCGCCAGAACCACAACAAACGGTTTTGAGGACTCAACCCGCGTCTGTGGCACAAAGGCACACTCCATCGTCAGCGGCGTGAGCAATGTTGAGATCCGCGACCAGCATGGTGTTCGCAAGCGCACTGTTCCCGACGCCTTCCAACTCTTTCCCGAGACCTTCCTCACTGACATTACCGAGTTCGCCAATGCCGTTCTATTCAACAAGCCTTTGACGTGTCTTGCCGAAGATGCCTTCGAGGCGGGTAAGATTTGCACCGCCTTGCAGCATTCATTCCGCACCGGGTTACCTGTGTACTTTGATGATAACGGTTTCCCTATTCTTGATAATGTTACAAATGGACATTAGAGATTGCGCTGGCTATTGTTACTTGAGATAGAGCTAGATATTAAGGTTGTATGGAATTGTATTTATCAGATCACATCAAATCAAACATATGAGAATGTTTCGCATCCCTTGCCTCAAAGCTTGATTAAAGCTATTGATTTACAGTTTCTGAAGATTTCGGTCAGAAATCATCATTTTAGGGAAATAGAGCGGGAAGAAAACATGCCAAATAGCTAACTACTTGTCATTTTGATGCTGATACAAGTTCGTACCCAACCGTAGCTCGTCGCCCTATATCTCTTTGGCATACAAAAAGAAGATGAGGCGTCCTTCGAATGATAGACAACCAGTAGTGTTCTACCTCTCTGGTTGGGCACCAGGATGCTGACCTGGCACCCAAAAACGTTCACGTGCAACGTTGCGTCTCACCGAGGCGAAGCGTTTATTGGTCTCCTGCGCATAAAATCATGACACCCCGTGTCACAAGGAAAGTCAATTTTGTAAGCGAGCCCAAGGCTTGCAGAACATCCCTGGTCAATTGGCTGATAGCAGCCCTGCTGCTTTATATCGGGCAGAACTCGCAAATACCTAAACACTTCTCCTATTCATTTGTCGCGACGCCGCTATGTCAATTTACAAATGCGCTCACATCCTCTCAGTTCATTCAGGCCGACTTGCCTGTTTCCAGGTCTATTAGTAGGACAATATGTTGAGTGTTCCTTTCACTACTCTCGACAAAAACACCAACCTCATTCTCAATTTTGTCGCGCTCTAAACCACGAGACACTATGCCGAATAACTCCTCTCATATCCCTTCCGGAGCCCAGCGTGCGCTACAAAACTTCGCCAACAGAACTGTCAACGGTCAGCATGTGACGACTATTTGCAACGAAGGCACTATTGTTATACCGACAGATGTTGGTGGCGGCAATAACATTGCAATATACAACGACGGCACAGTCGACATGCCAATAGGCGTAAGCGGTGGCAAGAAGACGACGAAATACAATGAGCCCGGCAAATCCAATACTACAAAGCGCAGTAGAGGAGCTCATGATAGGAGCCACAGGAACCACTATCGCACTCATGACGAAACCAACGAGTATGACTACAGAAACGATAACACAGCCTACGGCTACACACATGATGCGTTCAACGAACCCAATCCTACTGTAAACGATTGGACCGAGCATGGAAACTACAACGGAGCCAACGTTTATCATCACGGCGCCTCTAGTGGAAACCAGCTGATCAGTATAGATCATTCATGGAACAACAATAGTTTTGGCATACACAATGCTCCAGGAGGCCAAGTTTCTGTGCCAGCAGGTTCCACTAACAACAACAATATTGCCATATACAATGCACCCACCGGCAAGATTGTAATGCCGGCTAATGTAGCCGATACCAACAACCTTGCCATACACAACGCACCGAACGGCAAGATTATCATGCCGACAAGTGGTGCCGACGGCAGTCACAAGAAGTCAGCCAAGTGCGGGCGCTGCAGAGAAAAATTCGCGACGCGGGAAGATAAGCAGGCTCATCGGCAATCATATCCCCAGTCTTGTAAAATCCATAATAAATGCTTCAAGAGCTGGAGGGATCACAATGACAGGTACTCTCATTCTTACTGTGGAGTGGCGGGTTGTGAGAGGGCGGGAGTGGACTACGGGAGTAATGCCAGATATATGCAACATTTTCACGGGAGACATAATTTGTACTAGGAATTACATGTATGGGTCTACGCAAACTAGGACTTTATTTTTTTACGATCTCAGGCATTTCTTTTCTTTGCAGTCCTAAATAAGAAGCAGCGTCAGCTCTTGCTTTAAACTAGCTGCTGAGTCCCGGCTACTAGCTTAACGGTTCCTCACGAGACTCGGTCCAAGACTGTTTTGTTCGCTAAAGACATGCACATGGCACCTCCGCTGGAGGTCGTTACTCGCGAATTTTCCTTGAAGCTTTATATTAGGATCATATTGGCTACTATGTTCGGTCGCGCCTTCAGCTCCCATGAGGTAGATGTAGTAGTAAGACAAGTGGCCAATAATTATATGATCCAACACTCTATCAACTTTAATCAATTCTACGATTAATCAATTCTACTAGGGAGGTAAGAAGTCTTATTTTATTTATGCACATCTGAGTTCTGATCATATTTTGAAAGCAGTAGCTAAGGAACGTCATACGGTATAGAAAGAGTGACTAGCTTCAATGTGAGCTTATCTTTACAAGAAAGCAAAAGAGTATACTAAAACATATGACTCCGAGCCTATTGGTTAACGAAAAAATTCTTTGCAAAACAAAATTTCAAATATTCAAAAAGCCATGTAAGTGGTGGTTCAAAGGGAAACTTCGCTTGAAATCAATGTGGCTTATGGCATTTTATCTCAACTTTCAAGGGTGGGCTATGAATTTTTCAGAACAAGTTTGTTAAGAATCTCAGATAATTTACTACTATCTTCACTTTTTCCTATTCAGAAGCATAAATCTAAGTATTTGCTTACAACTGGCTGCCTAAATCTCAAGGGGACAGCACGGTATAGGGTAGCTCAGAATCGGCGGAACTCGACGAGGTTGACCCCGGCCAAGTACCACCAGACATCCATATCAGCAGGGAGGAAGAACAAGAAACAATTGACGATGAGACGTCGATGAGAAATTGAATTTAGGGAGAGAAGAGAATCGAGGTTAGGATGGGTTGTTGGGGAACTGGCAATTAGTGAAAGCGTGGCTGATTTCGATCAACAACCTGCACATTGTGCAACTCCGCCAAGTCTCAACCCCTGCTGAAAATATACCGCACGTCTTTATTATGAAAAGATCGCGCCTACAATGCCGAAGCCCGTTCAAGCACAGCGTGGCTTCATTACGCATAGCTAGGAAGTGCATATCCTGCTTGATTGGGCATCAAGAGCACATTTGTGCCATCACAAGTGCATCGGTGCTGCACTCTTCACATTTGAGCTGAGCATCACAGGGCTGCACGTGATCAATAATATGCACGATGCATGCAGGTCGACCCCAGCTCGACCCAGCCACCAGTCAGGCTTTTTCGCTCGACGCTCAGCTCAAAGCGGCTGAGTCGAACCGATCAGGTTGCTGCATCTTCGACAGAGTTGAAAATCCCCCGCCCGCCAGCCAACGCCAGCTTTGGGCATGGGAGCTCGCTTCTATCCGTCGGGAGATCGACCAACAGTGAGAGCAGCCTGTAATATTTGACCAGAGACGCCAGAGATCAGCCCCTGACGCGCTCCCAAACGCCCCCAATACCGATGGCGAATACGCCACCGTCCAGCCGGCCTGCCTTGGAAGATCCCAAGGTTCAGTGCATATCTTTGAAGTAAGATATCCAAGCTTTGATGTCGGCAATAGCTCCATGGGAATCAACACCGAGGCTAACGTGACTGCCAAGTCCCGAATTGAGCGAAGCGCAGCGAGGTGGCCAAGGTTGCCAACCAACAACCTATGAGGCTCTCCGGGATCACGGCGTTGGTACTGGACAGGCCGAGGCAAGCAACAAAGCCTAAATCAGTAGTTTTAAAACCATCTCACTAACTGCGATTACAGGCCGATGAGCTCCAGCTGTAGTATGTGCAAGAATCGAACACAAAGTCCTATTCGCCTGTCTAACACATGTCTAGCTTTCTTCCCCATATCAGCCGGGATCCCAAAGACGAGAGGACATCGGGCGTTCTTTGCGACGACCAAGGTCTGTGCGATAGACTCACTAGCAGTCTTCACCTGCCGCCTTTCTTCTTGCAGCACAAAGCGTGGGACTCCAACGGGTTCCTCATCAACCGACACGTCGCAGCTCCCGAGGACCATGATATTCAAAGTGAGAACTCCATTTTGATTGGGTTTGGAGAGATTTACTCACAACCGTATCAGGCTATGCGGGTCGATTTTTGATAAAGATTGTGGCGTCGGCGAACAACAAGTGGACGTATTCCTGGCAGTTCTTGTCGTTTAGCATCCTTTGGGCTAAGAATTTCAATGACGGCAAAGTATCCTGCGTGGTGGTTTGCTATGATGACTGTGGCCAATTGGAGGGCAAGATCTCAGACGCGTTGAAAAATTACTCACCAGCAGACATCAAGGATAGCCCGCTCGCCATTTATGATGCTTTCCTGCAGGTGGTTATTTGGGAATATGATTCCGCGCTCTGGGGGTTCCGGGAACCAGTCAGAAACATTGAAAAGGTATGTGTTTGAATCTACGCAGGGAATTCCAGAGCATTCTCCAATGTTTTCCGTTGGTGGATATCAGATCTGACATCCCATCCAGGCTCGAGAGGCATTTATCAAGGATGTTATCGCCATCGAAATAAAGGGAGAGAGTGAAAAGATCACAAAAAAGTATACGAATATGCATGAGCTATCTCGTCATTCAATTCACATGAGCGAAACACTTCAAGCGGCTTCCAAGACCGTCGAAGAAACCCTCCGCGATATTGAGACAAGGTTGATAAGCCCTGAGTCAGGGTTGGGTCTTGCAACCATGAACACCAAGAACATCGTTGCTGGCATCCGATTCTCTAACATCTTTCTCAACAACCTCAAGCTGCGATCTGATGCCTTTGTGGCACGGCTTGAGAATGAAATCCAGATGGTGAGAACTCACGACTGCTCTCAGTCAGAGATATGCTTTACTAATGGCGCCGTGTCTAGGCATACAACATGGTTAGCGTTTATCAGCTCAAGGAATCAAACGAGTCTACGGGGTTGACCAAATTCGTAACCCATTTGACCCTTTTCTTCCTGCCCTTCACTTTTGTTGCGGTAAGTGCATCTGGCAACCCAACTCGTCCCCGTCCCCCCTGCTAATTATGACATTCCAGGGCTTTTGGGGGATGAACTTCACCCAGCTAGACAGCGACAGAAAGATGTACGTATCCACAGACATCTGGATGTTCGTTGTGACGGGGTTCGGATCAACGCTCGCAGCATTCATCGTCCTGTATTATAGACGAATCGCCGCCACGACCAAGACCGTGTACAACAAAATCACCCCGGCTCCCGTGCGCCGACCAACCTTTGGCCTCGGCAATCAATTCACTTGGGATATAGGCCGCAAGGCGTGAATGTTTATTGTTGAGGTTTTGAATTTTAAAGAGAAATTTGTTAATAGTTGGCACTCTTGTTCGCTTACATCAACAATCCAAGATTGGATAGATTTGTTTGGGGATTTGCTGGTAGTGGTGAACATCTGGTGGAGGCCATTGATGACTTATGACTCTCAGTTGCATCAATTGATTTGTGTTAATACATACCATGGCAAGTGTTTCACAGAGATGCCATCCTCTTCTGCTGACGAAACAAATGCGCCTGCCCCTGTTGGTTGATTGTGTCAGGGGCTGCCTTGGCAAGCAGAGAAAGTGAAGGCATTCACACCCTCAATGCAACCAAAAGCACCACGAGAAACGCGTCAATGCATGCATGAGACACATCTCCCGTCGGCAAAATAGAATCGGGCCACGGAGGATTAATACCAATGCCTTCTCGTGATGTGATGTCATTTCCGGATGATATTGCTCTTGTGCTACAACATGCAGTCGACTTACCACTGCTTGGCAAGCCTGGCTGACGGTGGCGATGCAACCCTTCCAGCCGGCCTGAGAATTTTTCTTCCCTCTTATTAATACAGTTCCCGAGCGGTGATTTAACCCCCGTGATTGGTTTGCCCCCCTGTAGGAATGTGGGATCTGCCCCCCATCACGTTACCGCATGTTCGACATGCATGCAAAAATTGCCCCGAAACGAACTGTAGGCACAACAAGCCAGTCTTTCATTCGTAGCAGCTGGATGGAAAGGACCAGGGTCGGTTATAGAAGGGCATCGATTGTTGCGAGCAACCGCTGGTAGCCGCGAGCCCAGGCGGGAAGCCCGTATTAGTTGGCTATGAAGTTTTTTACGCTTCCCACATGACCGGCCGTCTCCGGTGGCAGTAGATCTTGACGCCTCTGGAGAGTCTGGGCGCTCGGAGCCCGCCTTGTCGAACGCGCCCTGTTGGCAAGCCGTGTCTTGGACCCTCCGCAGCTTTGCCTAGACGGTTTGGTGGCTGCAGCACGAACCCCTGTACGCCCATGCCATGCCCGTACATTCAAAGGGCGCGGCCTGTATTTCTGCTGATAACGCCTGAGTTGCTCGTGTGCTCACAAGTTTACGTGGAGGGAGAGGGAAGGGAGAAAGGGCCAAAAAGGAGAGCCTTGAACGCAACAACACCGCCTCTTCTTTGGCCACAACGTCATCCAGAGACACAGGCCCCAATTTACCCCTCCTGCACACCAGCATCTTCCTGTACTCTCTCGTCTCATTGCCTTGCATCTGCATGTCCAACCTCCAGCGGTCCACTCGGTGTGCAGGTGGAACCCGAACCCACCTGAGATTACGCTCCCCCGCGAAATCTCTGCCCACTTGTCCGCCACTGCTCGTCTTATATCTATTGGATGACCCCATGCATTGTGTTCTTTTCTTCGTCAATCTGATCTCTTATGAATGATACTGCCAGGATGACCTTGCGAACAGTGGATGAACGCGAGCCCTTGCTCAGGGCTTCTGACCTCTCCAATGACCTGCACAAGACCATCTCCATCTCCAAGGTCGAGGAGGTAGGCGACTATGAGAATCCTCAAAAATGGCCCAGCAGCTTCAAGTGGCTGGTCACTTCACTGCTGTTCTTCATGGCCTTTACTGTGTAAGAATTACCTCCCAAAACTCCCATTATGGATCAAAGTGAGGTGTAGCTGACCAGATGAATAGAACCTTCAACTGCATCTCGCCCATGCCAATTGCCAGCCGTATCATCGAAGACTTGAATGATGGCCAGCCTAACAGATATGCCAGCGTCCTACTCGTCACCATCTGGGAATTCGGCGAGGCTGCTGGCCCCCTGGTCATCGCCCCTCTCTCCGAGATGTACGGCCGTTACCCAGTCATCAACATCTGCAGCGTGCTCTTTGTCATGGCCACAGCATTGGGAGCCGTAGCACAGACGGCGCCCGTCATGATCGTCTCCCGCGCCCTGTCTGGTCTCGCCGTCACTTCCAACGTCCTCGGCCCTGCCATCGTCGGTGACATCTTCGAGCCGGAGCAGCGAGGATCTCCAATGAGTCTGGTCATGCTGGCGCCTCTCATTGGCGGTGCCATTGGACCGGCCCTCTCCGGTTACATCGCCGAGAGCCTCCACTGGCGATGGGTGATCTGGATGAACGTCGTTCTCACCTCGTCGTGCGCAGTTCTCTTCATCATTTGCCTGAAGGAGACGTACCATGCGGCCATCATCAAGAAAAAGCAACGATTGCTGCACAAGGCCGCACAAGCCTCGAGGCTCGAGGCTAATGACGAAGTCGTAGAGATAAAGTCTGAGAGCCAGAATGGATTGATCGAGTCGATTGTTCGACCAGCTGCTATCCTCAGCAGCTCTGGAATTCTACTCGCCCTCGCCCTCCCTGGCGCGATCGCGTATGCTCACTACTACAACATCACGACGACGATGCCCGACATTCTCCAGAACATCTACGGCCTATCCGCTCCTCAGATTGGCGCCTCTCTATTCTCATTCAGTAAGATACCCTGACTCCTAGGTATTTGATTCATATCACTAACTCAATTCCAGGCATCGGATCTATTGCAAGCGTCATGCTTTGCAACCTCGCCCTCGACAAGATCTACGCCACGATGAAGGCAGCCAACGGCGGCATCGGCCTCCCCGAATTCCGACTCCCAATCTGCATCTTCGGCGCCCTCGCCCTCCCCCTGACCATTGCCCTCTACGGCTGGGCCGCGGAGCTCAAACTCCCCCTCTCCATGGTCCTGACCTCTGTCGGCTTGATCGGCATGGCCATGCTGGCCGTCGAGATCCCGCTGGCCGCTTACATTGTCGACGCGTTCGGCGACTACTCCGCCTCGGCCATGACGGGGCTGGTAGTGATCCGATGCCTCGCGGGCACTTTCCTACCCCTCGGCGCCACTCCCCTGATCGACACGTTCAGCTACGGGTGGGGGTTCACGGTTCTGGCCCTCATCACGCTTGCGCTCGCGCCGATTCCGATCCTCGTGATGCAGCATGGCCGCGAGTGGCGTCAGCGTTCCGTGTACACTCGACACGAGCCGGACCAGTAAGCGTTTGTCAAGAATGGAGGAGGGCAAGTGACAAGGTCGTTTCTTATGAGCCGAAGCAGGCGAAGCATAATAGCAGGTTTTCTTTCAGGCGTTGGTTTTATTTTCTTTGGAGTTTGTAAAATGGGTATCTTAGCGTGATTGGAGGTTTCAAAAGCACTACTAATGACTGTTATGAAATCATTTTGGATTATGCAGCATGCTAGAAAACTACAGGATAAAATAGAATGACTTTTACTTCATCTTAGAGAAGGCTAATTTGTTGTGCGTCCTCAAAAGGAAAACATGTGTATGACTTCGTCCAACCTGTGGGGGTGCAGGGACTCACATGTCGATAACACGCACACCACCTTTTCCACTCCTCTTAATTCAGAAACCTACAACCGTAAACGATGTTCAATATCTATACTTCGGTGGCAGATACACAACCTTGCTTTCGTCATCAAAGCTCCACCAACCCCTTCCCCCTTTTCTCCATATTTCGTCACGACGTTTTCTCGACATCTCCAATGTTTCTGTAGACATGGAAGCTTTAGGTATTTGCCAGTCTAAGTATCCTGCTTCAGGTTCTAGAGTCTTGACCGTCTCCCATCCAGCGTCAAAAAATCCGTGCTTTTGGAGGCGGGTTTCATCCCAGAAGACATAGCCTCGATGGCGATAATTGCGGATATAGCGATATCGATCATCCCAGGTACTCACATCTTGAGGGCGCACAGACTCAAAAGCCTGAGCTGGGCCATGGTCCGGATCTTGATAGAAAGGACCTAGGTTTGGATCGAATCCCTCGTGTGGTCCACCCCTGCTACGTGTTTGCGCCATCCGACTGAAAGCATCGGAAAATAATGTATGGAGCGGCCCATCCCATTGGGTCTCGCCTCTGTGGAGAACCTTGTGGATGTCCTGGTAGTTTCCAGCCTCGGCCAGCAAACGTAGAGTGTCCAGACCACTGGTTATAATATGCTCTCCATACATTGAGGACATCGAGGTGATCAGGTCGACTTCCAAGTGGCCCCAATTGACGTCGTGCTGAACGATCTCGTTGAAACCTGGTGCTCTCAAGTCAGCAATGAAAAGTGCGAGAGACAGCGAAGAACGGGACGTGTTATTCTCTTGACGTACACTTGGCAACTAGAACCATGAAATACTCGAATAGACAGACTTGCTGCTCAATCTCGTGTTGAGCAAGCTTGAGATAACAAGCTCTCCAAAAATCAATGGCCTTTGTATTCTCACCTTTCGTAAACCAGTAACCGGGATGCCTTTTAAATACATTGCAAACCATATGGAAGACGTAAATGGCTGCCTGTAGTCGATACAGCTCGGTGGCGGACGGTTGGCAATCATTCGGCTCGCCGGCTACTGATCCACCAGCCTGGGGGGAGGGCAGTCTGCCAACGAGCTCGTGGAAGATCGCATTGGCAAGGTATGTCACATGATCATGAAGACGGGCAAGCGACAGAGAGTCCGCCATGGACCAAGTGCCTGTCAGAGATCCTTGCTGCTGAATTAGATGTTCCTTGTCGAAGCGCTTTATTGTTTCCAGATCCCGAAATTTAGCTGGGAGCTTGGAGGCGGCCACGGCGACAGATGCCGCGCGCTGAAGAGAAGGATGGATGAATCCCGACACGACTACTGTCGCAATCCTGTCTTGGTCGGCGCTGAAGACTGAATAAAAGGTCTTGCAAGACAGGGCAAGCGACCGCAGAGTGAAGGGGTCGGGACATTGTGTGAGGATCTCGTGCTTCAGCTCGAGCGGTATAGTTAAGAGAGGTGAAAAGCTAGTAGCTTCGGCCATGATGTCTAACGAGAATCAAGAGCGGGAAATTTGATGCGTAGAAGGCGAGAATTTTCTTCCTAAAGCACAAAATAGATAGCGGGGGGGAACGTAGAGAAGAGAAAGGACTCAGAGCTGATCAGATCCCCTCCCGTCAATTATGGATATCCCAGAAGTGCAACTGCATATCACGTGTGACACATTCATGCAAACCCCGCTCGAGCCTGCTACAAAAAGAAAGTATACCTACTTAATCCATCAAAGAATATGCGTAGGGATATCCTACTTCCATATTGCTGAGAACTAAAAGATAAGCAATATTAATGCGAGCCCCTGGACTACGCAGGTTTCTTTACTTTCCGACGTCTTCTATCGGTACTCCTCAGTACACAGTTATATCTAGAGCCAGATTTCGTTGCGTATTTGAAGCTGACAAGAGGTGAGACAATTACATCATTGCTCCGAGCCATGTCTATTAATGAACAGCTGAATGGCAAAGAGCATTATGCTTGGTAAATTTTCTTGCTGTGATTCCGAATAGGTTATTTAATACAGAATTTAAATATCTCTTCTAGGGGATAAATATTATCGAGCTAGATGAAGCATAATGATCCCTGACATAGACTCATGGTAGCAGGCCCTACCTTTACTAGATATCTGAGAGGGAGGTCACCTACTCGACTAGACACTACATGTAGAGAGCCAAACGCACAAATTCCATCCGTGCCTGTCGCGAAACAGTTAAGATCACCTCGGGGGTCTATATGTGATTCATGTAAGAACCAGGACATCATCAAGTTCAACAACAGAACGGCAATCGCGATGGGCATGTTGAAACTGATCCGGGAGCGTTCGTCTATGAGGTTACTCGGACCTTAGATATCAATAGGTCTCCATACATCTACCCCTTATTAGTCAAGTCGGATATATGCTCCTCACAGTTCGTGCAGTCTATCTCGTCACCACTTCTAGGCCCTTCCATTCCTCAGTCTAATATCACATTTTTACATATCTAGTTATCAGTAAACCGCAGACCCCCAGGCTAGTGAAGCCAAACATCAAATTCCAGCTGGAAAGCCCAGCCTCGTTATTCGATGGATTATCGCAAACTAGGCTCCAGAGGTGGGAAATGAAGCTCGATGGGTTTGAACGCAGCCTGAAAATCAGAGATTAACCTACTGTGAGATTAAACAAACTACATGCATGTCACACGGTTCCACTTAATCAAAGAACTTTTCCATTTGTCCAGTTAGAGAATGAATCTCATTCATCTAGTTGAGTAGTCGTGGCAACCTAAATTGCCTCGACTGACTACGGAGCTAGCACGAACCCAAGATCCACGAAAACAATAAATCCCTTCGTTAGATACAGCAATCATGCTTTTCCTGGCTCTAATGGCCGTGTCCTGGTCCCCTGAACGTGACGATCCATTTAAGATGCCCTTCATTGAAAAGCCGGGCTAGCTCTGTGGCTAGAAGACTCGAAACACGAGCGGCCCTCAAAACAGCCACATTTCTTGAAAGGTGGTTCTGGTTCGATGTTCTCATTTCAGCAATGAGCACGCGAATTTTAGTGCTGCTCATATCCCAGCGCGCTTCGGCGTGTCCGTCTTTTCCTGGAAAGTGCGGAATGTAAACAAGCTTGGCCTGTCCACCTGGCACACCTTCCAAGAGGCAATATGTGGAGTGTTGAGTGTCCATGACTATCCTGGCGACTTCTAAATTGATATCTGTTACACCATGTGTCAGTTAGGACCTAGGTAATCAACAGCAGAGGCGGCAGAAAGACAAAGGGGGGTGGAGTTTGAGGTTTGAGCCAAAATGGCAAAAAAAAAAAAAGAAAAAAAGAAAGTAAAAGGAAAGTAAAAAAGACGTACCGGCAGCAGCCCGACCCGCCATCCTTTGTCCCATTGTCTCTCGAACGGTGGGTTCAAAATTGTCTCTATAATATGTCCAACCAGCACAACCTGGCAGCCGTTTCGGTAGTATGTACTCGTTCAGAAGATTAGGTCCGGGCGCTATATTGCTGGTAATTAGATGGTCACAGTGCCACGTTCTGGGGTCGGGTCGATGGGGCAAAAGCTCATCCGGGCCCACGAGGGCATATAGCTCAATCCTGGTTCCTTGACCGACCCTATCGTGCAACCTCTGGCGCAAGTCCAAGATGAAATGACCGAACCTATTCGAGTCTCCGTAGTCCCAGACCCAGTATCTGTCATTGTGCTCTACAAGCTTATACGAAACAGCCTGGCGACGGTTCAGTTCAAGCAGAAAACGGCCAGGTTGTGGGAGCGGCCGGCCCTCCAAATCCCTTTCAACATGTTCGTCATCCATACAATAGATGATAGCTGCTTGAAAATCGGCGTCCTTATCAAAACCGCTGCGTGTAAAAACATGGTCCAAAAATGTCAAGTGCGCGTCATGTATCGGATTGAACCTTGCCGGGAAAACAAGGATTTTGGTAACGAGATTCGGCCGGACCAGAGGCGGGTCGGTGGCTCTGCGACTGTTCCACGGGAGATTCGGGGTGCCCGGAGGAGCGATTCCCCCATGCAGCGCAAGCTCAGCATGATAGCCGAGGCTCATATTCAAGGGGTCATTCTGAGCAGACATTGTGCTCGTGAAGTTAAGAAGTCTTACTAAAAGCAAACCTATAGATTTCCGGAATTTCTGGCGATAGTTCGCTAGGTCAAGTTTTCGTGAGTTTCTTTCAAGATTGTCCTGGTTGTTGAAATCTGTGAAGAGTTTGGTACTTTTCGATGATTTATTTCAATGAGCGACGGTCCTTATTTATATAGATCAGAAGGACTCTACGACATATCCAGTCCCAAAAAACACGTAGTAAGCTTCTTTGTTGGCGCACATCCCTAAATGATCGTAAACAAGTGCTCAAAGCGTACTTGATTCTCACACACCTGGAATCTCTCCGTATCAATAAGGGTGTTAGTTCATATAGATCGAAGTAAAATTAGCCCCCGGATGAAACATGCTACAAATGGTTTGTATGGCTCGTTGAGTTCAAGGAGGGGATAAAAAAATAGCTTGGGCTGGCAGCAAGCGGATGCGACATTCTTAGTTCGTAAAACCCATCCAATTTCAATCAAGGAGTTCTTTTGCTCAATGAATTCTAGCTCATGTGTAACCTATTTTTTTTTTCATTTGATTGAAGAAGGGTTTGCCAACTTGCTTCGGCAAGTGAAGACATTCTTAACAAAACGAAAACCCCAGGCCTTGTTCTGTCCCTATTTGCGACATGTACTTCCCTTAAAATTAGTTGCATTGGTTCTTCCTAAACTAACAATACTCTCTACTAGGAACATCGTTTCAAAATTCTCGAAACTGAATGCGTAATATTACATATATCAAAGTGTTGAAGCGTAATAAACAAGATGTAACTTGATTCAGTGCTTTGTCTTTGTGATGGAGGAGAAAGAGAATAAAGTTTCACAACAATGAAAACAACTCAACGCAGTGAATATTGTCTTTGTGATAAACCCATAAATCGGCCAGTTAGGATAGAACCCAGCCTTATTATTATCAATCATGTCGATTATCTATCCTCGGTAGAACTAGAATAGGAGATATCTAACATAGGTACCTTTAAAACATGATAAAGTTACATGGGAAAAAACCTCACTCACTTCACGATGCCCAGCGGGCTGGGACTAACCCCTTTTGCCATGACGAGGAACTGTGAACATAGACCCAGGCGGCAAATATTGCATATGAAGCCAATCTTCGAACTTAGATGAATCGCGCAGTCCAAAGTTTCCATGTTTTCCACCCTCTCATCTCAACTTGGGATTCGAGAGGCTTTTAGCCTTTGGAGGCACAGGCGGCCGGACCTTTCCATTCTTAAAACTCAGCCCCGGGTGCTCCCCAATCAGTGCCAACAAAGGCATCTTGTCCAGTATCTCATCATCAGTGAGGTAGTGCAAGTTCTTATAAACTTCCTTCGCGGAGAGATGCGGAAGCAACAACCTAGTCATGTCAGGGTACTCACTGGACAAGGAATGCTTGAGCAATTCCAAGTCGCATTCCGCGCCCTTGCTGATCAGCTTCTGGGCGATGGTGATGAATCCCCCCGAGACCGCCCCGTACAAGGGCGTTCCGAATCTGCCGCAACGTTGGTTGATGCGGGCGCCGCGTTCAATCAGAAGATCAACAATGGCCTCGTGACCGTGGCGACACGCTTCGTGGAGTGCCGAAGGGTATCTAGCCCTTCTCCAAGAATCGATTTTCACGCTTACCCCGGTGTCAAGTAAATGCTTGACGATCTCCAGGTTGCCAAACTCGCAATAACGATCCAAGCGGTGGCAGGCTGGATATGGCTCGGTGCTTTGAGCAAAGAAGTCGGACAAGATACGATAGACAGGGATTGATTTCGAATGCAGCATGGCAGCCCTTAGAGTCAAACCCGGCAGAGATCTTTCCTTTACCTTTCCATGAGGCTGGCCAAAATAGTCGGTGCTTCGTGGATCCCTCCGAGAAGGGGGATACAGTGCCATTTTCAAGAGCTCGACATCGCCATTCATTGCAGCACCAACAATAGCTTGGGGGTCTGCTTTCCCTTTGCAAAGGACTGTAGGCAATGTAGCATGACCAATGAATCCTCGAGGGTTAGCCTCACGGTCTGCTGGAGGGCGGACCATGTCCGGCAGGCTTTCTTGAAGGATCTGAAGCATGTCGGCGTGGCCTGCCAAGGCAGCGGCTTCAACGGCCGCGGGGAGGAGGTCGTCATGTTGTGTGGGATCAACGCCTTCCGCGAGAAGGCTCTTGACCACGTCTTGGCAGTTCAGATATGCTGCAGCGCTGAGAAAGTTGAGATCTGCGCCATTCGTGATGACGAAGTGATTGTGGTAGGTTTTCAAGGCTACCTTCCCGGCCACGCTGGTGAGCGCTAACCAGCAGACAGATTCAATTATACTCTTCAATGACAGGTCAGTAAGCTTGGTGTTGAAGAGCCTCTCTGCTGCCGTTCGAACCTCACAATATCGATGTGCCAAAGGGTCCGTTTCATTCTGGACGCGGTAGACGAGGTAAGCGTGCCACAGTTGTTGAGCTCCATGGTTGTTGCGAATGGGCCAATAGCTCAAAGCTTGCGTGGCCTGGTCGGCGGAAACTGGGAGATACGTGTCGAATATCCGCGTTGCAAACAAGGCAGGCCGAAACATTACATCAAAGGTCTCTGAATCCACACTGTTAGAATACGAACCCATGCATGTCTGATGAGCATCACGTACTGCAAACCAGTCTCAACCTCAGCACTCTTGGTATTCCGGTCGAAGATTCATAATCGCCCCTAATCGGCAAGACGCGAACCAGTATTGCTTGCTGAAGAATGTTATCAACAATCTCCTCAGGGAGGTCGAGGATGTGGATGGCTGGCATTCTGCAAACTGGGCTGCAGGATCAAAGAGGAGTGTCCTTTTCTGGATGATGGAGAACCAAATAGATTGAAGACATGGGAAGCGAGCATTTGACCAGATTGCGCAGCCTTTCAAGCCAATGCAGTTGAGACAAATTGGAGGAAGCCTTGGGCTGTGCATTGCCAACACCTCAGCTGAAACCCCATTTGGGAATGGCTACCTGTTGCCTAACAGCCCCTCCATCAGGCAGATGAATACAGCACATTGCTCCACGATCAAAGCGAGGGAAAGATGGTCCATTCCATCGTTTCGTAAGGACATATATGGTATGAAGACCGGTAGCCATGAGGCAATAACCTAAGTCATGCCAGAGAAGAGGTGCCCATTGTGTTCTAGCAAGTCTACCCAGCACCAAACGGCTGAGCCAACACAGCCCGAACTAGATGGCGGCAATTCCGCTAGTCCCATTCATGGCTTGGCCTGGTCAATATGCGACCGGGCCTCGAGTAGGAGAGGGAAAATAGACACTTCTCATCCTTACAAAGGAAGACTCGGGGTAGTCTCTATATATTTGGCCGCCAAGGAACATCGTTGGAGAACAAAGCCATCGATCAACCAGACGGTTCCTTTCAACCAGGCCATGTCATAGCCCTGACTTGGGCCTGAACTGGCATCGCCGTCCCTTGCCAGATGAGGCAATTTCTCCATCTGCCTCCACGTCGGAGAAACGGACTGTCTCCTTCTGCTCCATTGGTCCCCGGATCCACATTATGGGGGTCGGTAAGAATAACCCAGACTGAAAGAAGGGCAAGAATATCGGAATTGTATGCCGAATCCATCAAAACTAGTGCATGAATTCCGACCAGAGATACACTCGAACAGGATTGAGGGTCGTTATAAGAAGCAAACTTAGAGACAGGGGACTCTTACTTAGGGTGTATAGTCATTCATCTTGTCTGAGTCTCTCAACCGGTTCAGTAAAATTAGATAGTTCAAGCAAAGATGCAAGACCTTCCAACTATCCGCTGGGGCATCGTCGGTATGTCCTCATCCAACACCACCAACCAACTTATTAAACTAAATCCCTTGCAGTCACCGGCCTAATCTCATCATGGTTCGTCGAAGACATTGTCATGTCACGCCCAGACGCCAAGGTCAACCACATTGTCACAGCCATTGGCAGCTCGAGCCTCGACAAAGGAAAAGCGTTCGCAAAAGAACACTGCTCAACCCACTCACCAGCCATATACGGCACCTACCAAGAGGTATACGATGATCCGAATGTCGATCTCGTGTACATCGGCACACCCCACGGATTCCACAAGCAAAATTGCCTAGATGCCATCGCCGCAGGAAAGAACGTCTTCTGCGAAAAGGCCTTCACCCTCAACGCCCGCGACGCCAAGGAGGTTTTCGCCGCTGCAAAACAGAAGAATGTCTACGTGGCAGAGGCCATGTGGCTGAGGCATCGGCCGCTCGTCCACGATCTTCGACGGATGCTGCACAAAGAGAAGGTGATTGGCGAGATATTTCGCGCGTTCTCCGACTTTGGGAATGACAAGGATGTGCCGAATCTCCCAGAGACGTCGCGGTACAGACAGTCGGCACTGGGGGCTGGCTCGCTACTTGATCTGGGCATCTACTCCCTCACCTGGATCATCATGGCGCTGGAACCTGAGAACCCTGAAAGGACGGAGCGGCCGATGATCCTGGCGTCCCAGACACACTGGGAGGATATTGAGCTGATGACGAGTGCGATTATTCGCTATCCCTCTGGTCGGCAGGGCATCGTCACATCGACCACATTGACAAATGGGAACCCAGACATGCTTGCGAGAATCCACGGTGTCAATGGTTCTGTCGAGGTCCATGGCTCGTGTCCATCCGCCCCCGTTGCTTTCACGGTATATCCCAAATTCACAGGAGAATCAGGAGAAGACGCGGTACGAGGCCCTGGCACAACGTACAAATATTCCGTTCCCGGGCGCGGCTACCAGTTCGAGGCAGACAGCGCAGCGCTCGACGTGCTGGCAGGGCGGAGAGAGAGCTGGGTGATGCCGTGGTCTGAGACGATCCGAGTATTAGAGATGATGGACGAGATGAGGCGGCAGGGAGGGACGAGATACGAGGCGGATGGGGATGATTGACTGAACATGGTGTCATTACAGAAATCCAACATTTTCGCATACATGTCTAGAGCAGAGCTATGAAATTATTTCTTACAGTGGCAAGGTGCCTTCATTACAACTCGGCGCATCTCACTCGGTTATACGTTCCCCTCCTCTCCTGATTACTTGCATCTCATACAACAAAGGTTGTTCCAAGTTTCTCTCCCTCGGCTGTCTACCCACGTGCGGCACTCCCAGAGTTGGTCTGAATCTCCGTGTTGTTTTGTGGTGGTCTTGCGATCTTACTAGGCCGCCTCTTCGAGATGGTCTTGGTTGCCATAGGACGAGCAGGCTGGGAAACTTCTCTCCTCGCGGGCTGCGCCGGCAGGGGACGCCGAGGCATGCTTGGAGGCTCAGACTTCTGGCTCTGCTTGGGGAGAGTTGCCGAAGTCTGTGTCGGAGCGGGCGAGAAAGCTGAGAATATGGGGGGAAGCTGTCTCTCGGGCGGCGGTTCCAAAAAGTCATGCATCGACCTCTGCTGCCAGACGATGTTGGGACGGTTCGTCATCCACTCGTCCAGGTCGATGAGGGTTTGGGTCCCCTTGGCGGTGAGGCTTTCGACATGGCGTTTCATGGTAGAGAGTTCTCGAGTGAGGGCTTCAATCTTCTGGCCCATAACTCCTTGGGTTTTCTGCATCGACTTCAGGAGGACGAGGATCTCTCCCGTTTTGTCAACCGAGACAGGCGTTGGGGGTGGAATGATCGGCTTCGTGGCCGGGGTTGCTGGGGCAGGGCCTGGAGGATGGGCGCGTTTCTCAGTATTTCCGGACAACTTTCTTAAGAATTTGGCTTGATCTGACAGCTAGTCGTAGGAAAATAAACAATATTAGCCCATGACGGAAGGACGAGACATTAGGATGGGGGTGAAGCTCACCGGAAGATCTAGCTCCTCCTTCAAGGCAAGTTTCCTGGTTTTCTCCTCGATGAAGAGAGGCCACTTGGTGGGCTTCGAATCATCAGGGCTCTCTTCTTCTTTCATGGCCACAATGCTCGGACAAATGTAAACAAGGAGTTGCACAAGCTGAAGAAATCAATAGAGCGAAAGCGTTGAAGCGAGTGGTGGATGATCAACGCGGGTGGATGAAGGGTGCTTGGGTGGAGTTCAAAATGTACAGGAAGATGCCTGAGAAAACTATGACGTGGCTTGGGGCACAACAACAAACGCAACGCGTGTTTTGGTGGCCGTCTGTTGACGGTTGTTGGCTGCGGTGCACGCCAGATCACCTCCCAGCGAGAGCGTGCAGCCAGGTCAATCGCCCCATTTGCACCCAAGAATTGAGTTTCCTTGCAGATTTCCCCAGTCCCTAAGTAGCTCCAGATTGAATTCACAGGCGGTCTTCCGAAACCAGGCTTGGTGGTCTCTATATCTCGCTCAGTCTACACTTTTTATGTACATAATGCGCATCGATACTGCTCCCGGCTCTCTCAACTTTCTGTCTCTATTACTTATGATAAACTCCGGCTGAAATTACGGAATCACACCTATGCTGTATTATATCAGAATCGCGATTTGGGAGTTTACAGTGAAGTCGATGGTTTGTGTCGGCCTCTATCGGATGTGATGCGCAGCTGATAATACCCAACAAGCACTGCTTTCATAACAACTGCTTAAAGCCCCTATGGCTTAGTGGTAAAGCGTCGCACTTGTAATGCGAAGATCCATAGTTCAATTCTGTGTGGGGGCAAGTTGTTTTTTTGCGCTTTTTTGGCACTTGTTTCTGCATTTTTGGAAATTTACTTAGAAAACTAGCAGATGAATTGGTAGCTATACGTTTAGAGAAAGTGCGTCAATAACATTAGACATATTTTGTCTCAGTAGCGGTGGTTCAGCGATTGGTACCAGTCCTTCCAACTGCAATGGCAATTGACAGTTGCGAGTTGGCTGTGTTCCTCAGGGCGATAACATGCCATTACTTTTTAAAAACAATGATATTTTTTTCTTTAAAGATAATTGCTAACTCGGCAAGTATGAAACCAGTCAACATTCTGACCACAGTCGTTCACAATTTATTAATCCACTACTCTCAAAACTATGGTTTTCGCTAACTAAGGTACTCTTCTCCAGGGTAGCCTATTTCAGGCGATGTAATTCTGACGCGTCGCGCACATTCGCTAACCGCGTCGAAGCATCATACATACGTGTACGTAGACGGATGAGCTTTGTCACAAACTCATAATGGCAATTTAATCCAACTCTGCATTCCTAAGCAGAGCTCTCCGTGTTCCCAATGGTCGCACCAACCACGGCACTCTCAACAACCACATGACGGACATGCTTCCCCTGGAACCAGATAAGCTGCAGCGATCCAATCAGCGCGACACCGGCACAGCTGAACCACGCGGCGGCAGATCCGCCCGCGCTGTAGATGATCCCCACGAGGGGCGGCGAGATGGTCCGCGCCGCGCAGCACCCGCTCATGGCCATGCCGTTGACGCGCCCCAGCAGCTGCGTCGAGGGCGTCGCGTCCTTGAGCAGGATCAGCGCGGTGGGCGTGACGATGATGCCGTAGAAGGCCTGCAGGATCATGGAGATGTAGATGCCCGCCGACGTGAAGTGCGGCGAGACGGACAGGAAGGGCAGCAGCAGGTAGGCGGTCGGGTACAGCACGATGGTGATGACGAAGGAGCGCCAGACGCCCACCTTGGCCACGAAGATGGGGAAGATGAGCGCCTGGATGAAGAGGCTGATGACGCCGTTGACGGCCAGGTAGACGCTGACCTGGTGCAGCGTGAGGCCGAAGCCGCCAATCAGGTCGAGGTGGCCGGTCGGCTGCTTTGGGGGTGCGAGGAGGTGCACGGGGAGGAGGGCTCCGAACCCCATTTGGTGGTAGGCCACGATCACGAGGGCGATGATAATCATGATTATGGAATAGTTCCAGACTGGGCCGTCGTAGGGAGCGCCGGGGCGAGGGGTCGACTGGCCAGATGATCTCGCCTCGGGGGGGATCTCGATATTGTGCATCGTGCCGAATGAGCTCCTCCTAATGTCGAAGCTGGGGTCGATGGGCAAGGGGAGACCTTCCTCAGCAATCAATGGCCTGGACTGAGCGTCCACAGCGGACCTACTCGCGACTGCGGGCGTCTTAGCCGTACGCCCGCGTAGAGGGCTAGTCTCGTCGACATCCTCCTCGATGGCGCTGTAGTCTTGTTCGGAATACCAGTGGCCGCTGGGGTTTGTCTCTTCCAGAAAGATGACTCCCTGCAGGATGGCCAGAAGGATGATGATTACCGAGGCCAGATTGGGGAGAAGGTACGGATATTTCCCAAACAGGCCGTCTTCGGGGAAAAGGTGTGGGTAGAACTTTGCCGGTTGGGCGAGGAAGCCCCCCATGGCCGAGCCCAGAATACCACCTAGCGTCCACACGAATGGTTGCGTGGCGTAGGCAGCAGCTTGAGGCTGGTCAGCACTATCGACGTGATGGCGGATGAGGAGAAGAGGGAGGAAGAGGAGAGAAGAGGAGAGGAGAAAGGACGAGAGAAAGACTCACGTTCGTGCTCAGGCTTCTTGACCATCTCGGCGACCATAGTCTGCATCACACTGACATTGCCGTTTAACGCGCCTCCAATGAGCCGGGCCAACAGCGCGACCCAGAAGCTCTTGGCGAACCCGAGGATGAGGCACGAGATGGCGACACCGCCCAGGCCGGCGAGGACAATGGGCTTGCGTCCATAACGATCGGACAGCGTTCCCCAGAAGACAGCCGTCACCGCTTCGGCGACAGCGTAGGCGGACACCAGCAGTCCGCCGTAAAAGGGAGCGTCTGTCTCGTCTCCATCATGAAGGTCCACGACGAGCGGGTAGGAGTAGGCAAGGATGGAATTGAACGCGATTGGCTCAGAGAAGCGACATATTGCTGCGAACAAGGCGATTGATTAGCGATCGGCCGCGTCGAGGCGAAACAGCGTCTCATTCACTCACCCAGGACGGTCAGTTGCCAGTAGGGAAATGCATTCGGGTCTTTGGCGGCTGTTGGAGACATAATAATCAGGGTATTCCGCCTTCCTCTTGCTTCCGCTGCTCTGGCTTGAGATGGAAAGAAGTCTCTCAAGCTTCAATTCTTCTCGAGCCCCGGCCTGCTTGCGGCTTCCGACTTTTCAGAGCACCAGCCATCTGCTCCCCTCGCCTCCCCTCACTGGGCGGGTCACACATGGTGGAGAGCAGGATGTCGGCCCGTCATTGCGGGAGTTGAGTCTCAGTTCTCATTCGCTGAGAGCGTCTTGACCGGGTGCTTATCGCGCGTATTTCGCATATCATGCATGTGCGCTGACCGACATTTACCCGTCTTACCTCCGTTTTCGTTCTGGCCAGTCAGTGGGACACATGGATACGGGTCTGGTTGGTCCGGAGCGGAGTCGACGCGTCGTTGAAGATCAGAGGAGCCCTTTGCCTTGATCTTGACGAATCGCCCATTCTCTAGGCTGGCTCTGACCGCCAAACTCTCCGACTACACGGCTCAAGCTGCACGAAAGAGCAACTACCGAGCACGAACAAGCCAAACATGCACAAAAGGCGTTGGACCATGTGACGTGTAGTGGGGCCGATATTTGAAACAGCACGTGACCACCCTCTTCATCACCAATTGCGTGACTCGCTTAATAAGCCAGGCCCTCCCCCTATGCACATTCACACCTGTTACTCAAACATCACTTCAATAGCTAACCTGAAGCTGCGGGGAATTTTCATAGTATTCTAATGTAATCAACTCGAAAATTTTTTTTGGGCGCAATGTTCTTTCTGCGATTGTTACAACGCCCCTCCAAATGTGCTCAAGGTACTGAAGCAATCATCATATGAAGACCTGTAGCCTCCACGCTGTCCATCCCGGCTATTGCGGCTGGGAGAGGAAGGAGCCGAATTTATCGTGAGGCTGGTATTTTCAGTGAACGTAGACGGCACTCGTCTAAAATAATTCCTCAAGATCGCGAGGCTTTTTCCACTTAGCAACGCCTGGGTTGAATCCCTTGCGGAAGCCTCGCTCTTCAATGTCTCGAGGCTTCTGCCATTTGGCAACCCCCGGATTGAATCCCTTATGAAACCCTCGTTCCTCAATGTCGCGAGGCTTTTTCCATTTCTCAACACCCGGGTTGAAACCTTTACGGAACCCTCGTTCCTCCAGGTCACGGGGCTTTTGCCATTTAGCAACGCCGGGGTTGAAACCCTTACGGAAGCCTCTTTCCTCAAGGTCACGAGGCTTCTTCCATTTGGCAACACCGGGGTTGAAGCCTTTGCGGAAGCCTCGTCCCTCAAGATCGCGAGGCTTTTTCCATTTAGCAACGCCTGGATTGAATCCCTTCCGGAACCCTCGTTCAACAAGGTCGAGGTCACGCTCGCCAAGCTCATCAAAATCGCGTTCATCAAACTGAATCTCCTCCGCCCTAGGCTTTGCGAGTATTGGAGCGATGTTGAAAGAACTGCCTAGTCTTCTCTGTACGAGCTCGAGACTGTTGGTGGTCTCGTCGATGCCCAGCGCGAGGCCTTGGTTGGCGAGGCCAAGCCAGAGAAGAGTGGCGATGCCGAGCTGCTTTACTGCCACCATTTTGATATTGGATGGAAACTGAGTATATTTTTGAAAGAAAGGAGGAGTTGGATTTGGGAAATCAAGCTGAAAGTGTGTAACCGGACACAAGAGAGGAAGTTTATATATGAACAAAGTAAGCGTGTACTTGAAGAGAGTAAGTATGTATTTGATAAGAGCAAGTATGTTAGTGAAGACAGAAGTAAAGATGTGAGTTTAAAGATTGGAATATGAGTAGTAGACCTTGGGGTTTATATACAAAAGTCTTTGGACTCGGACGATTCGCTAACCGACGATTAAAATGAATTTCATCTAAAATTAGGAATACATTCAACCTGCAGGCAATATTCATGATGTGATGTCGTAGTGTATTCAATTTCCTCGCGGAGGATTCATGAATGAGTCTTCTGCATGAAGCCTGCACTCCTCGGCCATCGAACTGAACGCGAACTACCTAAATAAAGAATCATGTACCTGTTTGGGTAGTGCCTGCATACGATGGGCTCCAGGGTCTTGCTTGTTATATCAGTCCAACGATGTAGTAATATCACGCGAGGATCTGCTTGAGTCTAGATTCCCTCCCACATTCCGGAGAGGGGCTGAAACGAGTCTAAGGTAGCCTCTAGGCCGAATGATCTAATCTCGTAGCTTATCCAATGGAACGATTAGATTTCGGCAACACGCTACCACTCCGCATTACATTCTTATCTTTTCCCTGGGTTGGTTTCACAATCACTTAAACACAGATATAGAAATGGAATATCATTTTGTTTACTACCCAAGACCGAAGAAACCATCAAAGCTGTTATTTGAGGTTGAGATTCTGAAATGCTAATTTCCCGCTTTATGTACTAATGATACAACTTAGCGAGGGAGGGTTGATGTCACTGTTGCAACGCTGCACCCTGCCGTAATGCTGCATGAACCAACACACCTGATAGAGAAAACCCCGGGTTTTGGCCAATCGAAGCTGTTGCCGTTGGGTCAGCCACAGATGGTTCCCACACATCCAACTCCCACACTCCGTAGAACCACTCTGGAAACCTAACCCTTCGCTTTAATTGGGCTCCGTGATGTTCGGGTTCTTTTTTTGTCTGACGAACTGGGAGGTAGGGGCGTCGAAGTATTATTCCATTATCTGGTGACAAATCCTATTAGCCCTCTTTTGCAGCACATGATGACGATTTCTGATACACTGATTGGTGAAAAGTTATTGTCTTCATACATATGCTGATGCTCCTCTTATCTTGTTCCTGCATGACCCATACCGTTGGGAACCTCCCAGGATGGTCAGATTACAGCTGAAAAGATGATACCTTCCCGATTAAACCGGAGGAAGAAATCCCATCGCGTCTAGACCACTGTTTGCAAATTTCCTCCATAGAACGACCATGCCTTCGTTTTGTCAAAAAATAGACATAGAACGAGCTCGCTTACAGAATCGATTCGTCCATAGAGACCGAGGGTCTGGATCACTATCAAAGACTGTATCGCTTAACGACAAATATCGATACATTGAAGCTGAGTATTCAATGTGAAGAAGGCAGAAAGTTAGGCGCATTCTCCGAGGGCTAGTACTTGACCGTGCAAGTCAAATCGTCTGTATACCGTTGGAGTCTGAAAGCACACGGCTTCTATCCGGGTTAACATTCCACAAACGGAGGAAGGTGGTGCTTATGATAATTAGCATGCTAATACCATGGGGATACGTCCAGAAGGGTTCATGAGGATGCCGCGCGGAAATTTGCAACATGCACTGGGCCTATGTTGGCAAGAAATGAAGCACTCTGATCCATCAGCTGGTGAGAGGATGAGCCCCTACCCAGTGGATAAGCTTGGGAATCAAGTTTGGTCTCGGGATGTGGCGGGATTCCCAACTGCCAAGTTGGGCTGCCCCACGGGCAAGCTGAGGTAGCATGAGTTACTCTCGTAATATAGAACCATTCGTTATTAGAACTCGCTTACTGATGATACACACTGCGCCACATCGGTCTAGGATCGGTACCGATGTTCTGTATCTCGGCTCACATCCGTTGACTTACGGTCGAGTTCGCAACTTGGTCAAACCAACCCGACTGGATTCTGGACGCCATAGCCTGATTAGGTGGATCACTCCTTGCAGAAACATCTTACGAAAGAGGAACCTTTGGATTTCGGATTACAGCTTGGAAAGACCCAGCTTGGAGATCAAATTTCTGTCTCTATTGGCCCTAAACTACCTAATCAGTCGCCGGGTGGCTGCTGTGACTTCTCTGCGTTATTCCTCATTGTTGCGCTACCCTCTTTACACACCAGGCTGTTAACTTTATTCAAACCCCAGTAAACTCACTAGAATACTGCAAGAGGCAAATGAATTCTGGAGAAAACTTGCAACAAGTGGGACGGTTACTTGCTTGGGCTGGCTCCGCCGATCATCGTCCTCATACTCGTCAATATCCTCCATTCTGATCTTGATTCGTAACACAACTTGATCGTCCTCCTCAGAACAACACTGACGTGCAACACCTTTTGAATTACCCTAGACCTACATCCATACCATCCGTCACTGGCACAGGAATAAATCCAATGGAAAACATTAGCACCCCGTTACATGTACCGCCCTGTTCTACCTTTAGAGCCGGCATCCTACCACCTGGATTATTAGCAAGAGTTCCATGTCGGCAAACTTATGTTTTTCTAATTTTCTTCTGCAATTCAGCGCTGTTCTCATTGGTCATGTAACCCTAAACTTAACCCTAAATCTTCCAATCCTATCTTTACTCCAAACCCACTACTCTATTCTCAAGCCAGTTCAATAATGGTTGTCTAAGAGCCTTTACTCCTCCAACGGGGATAGAGCCCCAAATGCCATGATGATGGCATCAACAGTATGGTACGCTATATAGGGCAGGCCCATGCTCATTCTTCCAAAGGCAATGGTGAACCTATAAGTGTCGTCACAAACGCCCCCTCTAGTCTCCAGAATCTCGCCTGCCTTCCCTAGCAGGTCGTCGGATTTGGCATCGAACTCGAAACCCCACCCGGGCTTCTTGGTGCCGTCGAGCAGCTGCTCATGCCACAGGCTATGGATCGCACGTACGACGGGCGCGACATCCTCGGACACACCAAGGGGCTTCTGCTTGGCCAGCTGGGTAGAGCCATCCTCTACCATGTCGTAGTAGTTGTTGAGGAAATTGTTTCCAGGAGATGCTGGCAGCTCGTCCTCGGAGCCGGCTCGTCTAAGTCCGCTGACGAGCGGCTCTGCAAGTCCAGCAGCAGTGATTTGTGCCTTGGCCGCGCGAAAGAGTTTCCAAGTCCTTATTCCTTTTGCGTTAGCAGATCCCGCCCACCTCGTGGCTCGTCCGTTTTGATTGAATGCACTCACCACTCCCAGAACTGCGGGTATTTAGTAATGTACAACTCGAGAACTTCAAAGATGCGCCTGTGTCGAGCCCGTGCAAAGCTGTACGGAGGCGACGTCGAAGAGATGCGGGCATCCTCGCGGTTGTGCATACGTGCTCGGTGATGACCTCGGATAGTCTCACATAGCATGCTGGACAGAACGGTGGACATTGTCTGGATGGCCCGCTCAATCCCGACATCAGAGGGATACAGCAGCCGAAGCAGGTTGCGGGTCTCGCCAGTGTAGATGTCGATGTGGAGGTCCATCACATCGTTTGGGACGGCAGACCCAACCAGCGAGTCGATTCCCTGGTTGTCGAGGAACGCGGCGCCGTCTCGACACATGTAGGCGGAGCCGATGGTATCAAAACCGCGGGCTGCGATGGCCATGTCGGGGTCGAGCCCGTGATCTATGTGTGACTTCCTGGGGGCTTTGAGAGGAATCGAGTTTTCACATTCATTCATTGCACGCAGATAGCCAAGACTGAGGCGCCAGAAGCAACGATCCAGACCTGCCTTGGCGTCATCAAGGGTTGGGACTGCGGCGCGAGCCATGGCTTCGAAAGCAGCGAAGCGTTTATTGAACTTTCCCTGCCCTCTTGCCTGCCGTTTGTTTCTTATTAGCAAAATTTGCTATTAAATCGTGTTTTCTGCGAGAAGGAAGTCAAGCAAAGGGGAGTGTCAGGGGAACGGGCGAGTCTTACCCAGTCAACACCTGTCAACGTCGCGTATACATAATCTTCTCTATGAGCGTGTGGCTCGAGGGTGAATGAATTGCACATTAAAAGGTAAAAGGGAAACTGGACGATAATGGGCGGGTCACATTCGAGACCGGTAAGCAGCCTGCCCCATGGCTTGAAATGATCGTCTCCGCCAGCCTGCGATGCATGATACTGGGGTATAAGGTCACTTGGCTGGTCGGTGTCATTGGCAGCCAGAAGCATGGCAGCGCAGGCCTCCAATGTATGCTGGTATGTGAATTCGATTGCGTCAATGTCATGCAACCCGGTGCTTAATTCTCTCTCCTTCTCAGCAAGGTCATGAAAATCGGCTGAGAACGACTGCACAAAGTCCAAAGTCCGTTGAGTTGGCTCGTGTCTGGCCATGACATTCTTTACCCATTGAGCGACGCTTGTTGTCATTGCGTAATGCCCAATGTGCCGCCCTGCTGGAGCTGCCGGTGGACGAGACTTGACGGTGCTCTTGCCCCACGGCCGTGAAGTAGACGGAAGCTCATTAGAGCCATACTCTACATCATCTTTGCCTTGATCATGAGCCCGAAGGTTCTCGTCAACTCCGCTGCCTTTCAGCGCCGCCTACATAGTGTTAGTGAGCTTGTCTCGGCTATGACCAGCACAGTTGCTTCATACTAGAGCCTCTCCCGTATACCTCATCCCCCGCGTGTTAATCAAGAAATCACGAGGCGCCATGGTTATTGTTGATCGTGGTCAGGCTGTGAATATGGGTCAGATTAGGACGCCAATCTTGAGAGAGAGGATATGCTGCCGGATCTTTTCATGTTTTATGTACAGATGGCTATGGGCCCGTTAATGTCGCGACTCTTGTTTCCGTTTGTAGTCCCGCAACCTTCTGCTCCAACAACTCGGTTGCCGATTGCATTCTAACGACTGTCATTGGATAGACGTCAAGGATGACAGGGACAGCTAGGCCCCCAAACCGAGATACCGGCAACGACATTGACATCCTGGACCGTGGGACGGCTATCAATGACATTCCTGACCTTTGATCCTTGTGACGATGGACATGCTAAACTAAAACGCCGATTGAAAGACCGGCGGAGCTCAGAAGAGTCGTCACCAATATCACACACCCAGGGGCGTAGAACTAGCAGGGCTTACTTGACACATGCTAGGGGGATCATGTGAGGTGAGAAAGAACTTGAGGCTAATATTGGACAATGGAAAATGGAATAGCGTGAGGGATATGGTTAGGGGTGTTAGAACGAAGTATTATATAATCTAATATACTTAATTAGAATTATTAGTTCACTATAAATATATCTATTTTCTAGAATAAAAAAGCTTTAAATTTAAAAAATAAGTATATAATAATATATATATTGATTTTCTCTAGAAATACTAAAGATTAATAAAATAAATAAATATATTATTATAATTTTTACTTAATCTACTATATAAAATCTAATATAGGGTTATACTGTCTTATTTATAATTATAGCAGGGGCTAAAGTATAGAGAACTATTTAGAAAGTAATATTTTAGTACCAGCTATATAATTTTTTTTTATAAAAATATAAAAAATATATTTATCAATTAAAGGCCTGCTATTTATTAGTATATCTATAATACCTATATTTTTATTTAATCTCCCTATCTTTGAATACTAAAAGCTTCAGTACAGTCGTTGAGTTGTCCGGGCCCTGGCAGCTTGTTAAAGTTTATCATCGTATTCTCCACGCACGCGCTCCAGTACAGTAGATGCTGAAGCGCTATATACCTCCAAATCCTTCGCAAGGATCTAGGGTATAGCGTATTTAGCGTGGGATTACTTTCTGAATGGTTCTCCGTAAGGATTATCGGGTTCTGGACCGAGCAATGATAATATCAGCAATGCTATTATCCCTGGCCCCTTCTTTTGATATTCCATTCAAGGCGCCACTGCGGCGATTGCGATTTTTAGGATTTGGTAGGCCTCTTCTCCACCCGGGTAATGGCCATTTAGCAGCGTTGGTCCTGCAACGCTGTTGGTGAGAGTTCAGCGGCCGCTGCAGACCCTTGTGCGTTCTCCGTGGTCCGATTATTATCTCCGTTAGTCCGTGCTTCTGGCTGTAACATAAACGGGAGCTCACAACATACCAAGCATACTATGTACGTATTCTGCAGCTAATAACAGCATAAGACTATTGACAGGGTCGTGCTCTGACCAGCTGCAGCCAACAAAAGCGAGCAGATATCCACTGCTTAGTAAAAATGGTGCAATCTGGCTCCTCTGATTCGCTAGCTGTCAGTCTGACCGCAGCATCAGAAACATGTGATATGTATGTTGGTCGGTTGCCCACATGTACCTCTCTCTACCTACCAGAGAGCAGATCTTTGCTGGGTTCTCGCTTATCTAATGTAAGCTGAACGTCGGGCTCGGCAATGCGCGCCCGGCCCCCTCCCTCAGCTCATAATAGAGGGGTGGGAGACAGGGCCTGTTTCTGACTACCTACATGCTACATGGGCCGCCCTGGAAACCTCCGGTGAGAGAAACTGAATGCCTCCACGAGCTGAATGAGTATCGGAATTGTTGGTTCCTAAAACCCGGATATTGGTTGGTTCTAACTTGTAATTGATTGTGCTGACATTCCCCTAGCTGCTCCCTTGCCAACGCGAAGCCCTTCGACGGATTAATATCTTGGAAAGGCGTGCTCAAAGAGCTCTCTGAGTTCCGGCATCATCCTGAATCATCGAGTCACTGTGCTCTCCATTGCCTTTCGCCCCAGCAAAGCCATTCATTCGTTCATGATGAGAGTGCCTCGAGTGAGCTCTCTCGCGTATGCGTGGTGCATCGCCACATCACTGCCGGTCGCCAGTGCTTTCCAGGAGGCAATTGCGGCCGAGCAGCTCTTGGGCTCGCACTTCGGCGTCCCCGGCCTCCCAGGAGCGTACGACTACGTGATCCTCGGAGGCGGCACCGCTGGCATCACTCTGGCGCACCGGCTCGCCTCTGACGGGCGATACACGGTCGCGCTGGTAAACGCGGGCGACTTTGCCGAGTTCGCCAATGGAAACTTCTCCGAGGTCCCAGCCCTCGCCTCCATGTTTGGGGGCTCGAACCCGTTCCTGAAGAATCCGCAGCTGGACTTTGACCAGTATACCACGAAGCAATCGGTAAGGGTCGCCCTAGATCGGGCATATTCCGAGACCACATTGCTCATCTGAAAATAGCAACTCGACGACAGGGCGCTATACTACACCATCCCCAAGGTTCTGGGAGGCGCGAGCTCCCGTAACTACCTGTGGTTCCCTCGGTTCGTGCTGTGCCTGTGAATGTTGCTGGAGAGACGAGCTTTGCTGACCGACTGCTTGTGATAGCGCACACGAAGGCGCGCTGGCAAAATGGGCTGAGCTGGTGGGAGACGAGTCCTATCTGTTCCCCAATTTCCTGCGCTATTACCTCAAGGTGGGCAGCTTCACGCCGCCAAACACAAAGACGCGGTTCGCCAATGCCTCGACACCGTACGACGCGGCCGCCTTTGCCAAGGGCGGCGGCCTCGTCCAGGTCGGCTACCCCAACTGGGCCAACCCTATTTCATCCTGGCTCGAGAAGGGATTCGAGGGCATTGGCCTCAAGCCTCTGGCCGGCGCGCTGGCCGATGGCAAGATCTTTGGTTACGCCTACCCACCATCATCCATGGACTCCAAGACGCAGTCGCGAAGCTCGTCCTCTACGTCCTACCTCCGGGATGCACTGGTCAAGACCACCAACTTGAACATCTACAAGGATACGCTGGCCAAGAAGATCCTCTTCGATGGCAAGAAGGCCGTTGGCGCCACAGTCGAAAGCGGCGGCGTCGAGTATCAGCTCACGGCGAACAAAGAGGTCATCGTTTCGGCGGGATTCGCAAGGTATGCCAATGCAGATTGGTGGTGGATTTACTTGATCGCGAAGCTGACTCTCTGTCCAGATCGCCACAGCTCTTGATGGTGTCCGGTATTGGCCCTCATGCTACGCTCAATGGCCTCGGAATTGATACCGTCGCTGACCTCCCCGGAGTTGGCCAAAACATGATGGTAGGTAGTCACTGATGATGCAGTATGCGTATCCAACTCTTGGCTAACTTGTGGGCTCACCCAGGATCACATCGTCATGTCCCCCTCGTACGCCGTCAATGTCCTGACCCACAACTCCTTCTCGGACGCTGCTGTCTACGTCGACCATCTCATCCAATACCGCCAAAGCCTGACCGGAATGTTCACCAACAACGGCGGAGACGTCCTCGCCTTTACCAAGTTTGACGACGACGCCATCTCGCAGTCGACGCGGGCGGACATTGACAAGTTCTCCACGGACTGGCCGCACGTCCAGTTCATGCCCCTCGACGCCTACGTCGGCAACTTTGAGGACAGCATGGCCGCGCCGGCGGGCAACTACGTCTCTCCCATGGTCGCCCTCCCCGCCCCCTTCTCGCGCGGCAACGTCACGATTGCATCGGCCGACACCAAGCAGAACCCCGTCATCTCGCCCAACTGGCTGCTCGACCCGCGCGACCAGGAGATGGCCGTCGCGGCCTTCAAGCTCTCCCGCAAGGTCATGACGCAAAACGCCACCAGCCCCGTCGTCATCGGCGATGAGGTGTTCCCCGGCCTCGACGTTGCGACCGACGAGCAGATCCTCGCGGCTATTCGGAAGCAAGCCTTCCCCGTCTCGCATGGCAGCTGTACCTGCGCCATGGGTCCGTCGACCAATGAGATGGCCGTGGTAGACACAAGTGCCAAGGTCCACGGCGTGGAGGCTTTGCGGGTTGTGGATGCCTCAATATTCCCTGTTTTGCCGCCGGGCACACCATCTCAGACAATTTGTGAGTAGAACCCTGCCGCTTATTCCTCCACCCCCTACTCCTTACCCCCCCCCCCCTGGGCATTCCTTTGCCCCTCGATGCCCCTCTCCCATCAAACGTAACAAAGCTCAATGAGTCTAACCCACCCTCTATAGACGCCCTGGCTGAAAAGATTGCCGACGACATTTTGAACGGTAAGTGAGCCGTCGGACACGATGGTGTACAATAAAGAAGAGCCAGTAGGGCTGGGGATAGTTAGTAGTAACCCTACTTTTAGGACCTTCTCGCTCGCCAGAGGATACCTACTCTTCGTCTCGACAAGAGCGCAACTCCAAGGATAGCAAGGATGAGCTCTAAAATAGTATAGATAGTTTCGTCACAAAATAAAATTCACACTTGTATCATGATTTTTAGTCAAATTGAGCTCATGACTTTGAGCATACTTGATCCAAACCCCTTTACTCTTCTTACCAGACGTCTCCACCAAGATCAGTAAACACTCTTGACCCAACCAAGCCCCCTTGCTCTTATCTTATATCTAAGAAAAAGTATACGACAAGTCTCCACTGAATCTACGACGAGATAATTCAACCCTTCAGAACTAAGTTAAGCATACTTGATCCGGACTCCCTTGCTCTCATGGGCCGTGTCTCCACTGAAGCAATCACGGACCATCTTGACATCCATCTCGTACGTGGTGTCGTGCAGAACAAAATCATGGCGTCGGAAAAATGCCGCAAGACCAACGTGCAGTGCGGTGGTAGCAAAGCTATTTCCGTCGTCAGTAACTGGGGTCGCCGGTAGTGAGACCGCTGCATGGCAGCAGGGGGACTCATCACTCACTTCATGCCCACACACATGCGGCTTCCTCGCCCAAAGGGCAGGTGGTATCGGCTGATCTCCGCCAGCTCCGGATTATCCGAGAGCCACCTTTCAGGCAGGAAGGCTTCCGGATCCTTGAAAATCTTGGGATCCATGGTAACGTTTCGGTACGTCATGCTCATTGGCGTCTGGAGGTTCGGTCAGTTGGTGCTCGCCATCACAACAAGCCGATATCTGGCCACTCACCCCTGGTGGAATTGTCCAGTCGCCACATTGAAGGGCCTCGTCTGGAGCAATAACGGGCAGCCTCGAAAGCAGGGGAGCCGAGATGCGGAGTAGTTCCTTGATGATGGCCCCCTAAAATAGCTTTTAGTAAAAAAATGCTTGCCAGAGCGACTCGACCGGGGTTTCTACTTACAAACCATGGCAGTTGCTCCAGCTCTGTGACCGAGGGCCGGTCATGCGGATCCGGCATCACCTTCAATAGCTCTTCACGGAGGCGCGGCATGATCTTCTCCTTGTTCGCGAGGATGTAGTACGTTCCAGTGGCAAAGGTCCACATGATGGCGTCGTTGCCGGCAACCATGACGGCAAAGGCCTCCTGGGCAATGCGCTCGGGCTTCTTCTCCTCGTCATTGATCACTGGAGACGAGAGGATTGTGCGGAAAAGTTCACGAAACGAGCTGGGCTTCTCTGGATCTTCGGTTGCGTACTGTTTGGCAGTCTCCGCCGCTTGGGCGTCCAGATCCTGTTGGAAATGTCTGTTAGCAAGTATGCGCACACTCGATTACTCAATCACAGAGCCTCTCACCCATCTCAGCTTGGCAATCCTGGCAATGTCTGGCGAGATGGCCCTAATCACCCACAGGGGTAGTTTGGTCGCGTTTGGGATGAACCACGGGAACTGCTTGGCAAACGGTGTAGTGACAGCCACAGCCTTGACTGTCCTGAACCAACCTTTAGTCATCTCCTCGTCCTCGAGCATACACATGGGCTTGCCAAAGAGGTAGCCGGAAAGCGTGTCGAAGCTGAATGCCATCCAGTTGATTCGCATTTCCGCCACTCCACGCTCTTTGATGTGGCGATCTACATTCTTGAGTACGAGCTCCACGTTGTCGTAGATGAGTTCCGTCGCTGTGGCTGCCTCCTGCTTGGAAAACTTGGCGCCCATGGCAAGACGTCTTTTCCGGTGGATATCATGATGTATGGTTCCGGCACCTAGGACACAGTTGTCAGGCTGGGCATTTCGGTCGAGGTCATGATGCTCCTCTAAGTTGCTTACCTGACTCGGGTGCGCCAATCATCAACGCAGAGGGGGGATACTTGTTGCGGACTCCCTACAATCAGATTGTTAGACTTTCCACTTGATTCCAAACAGTCTCTCCGATTTTGGTCGACATACACTAGCCGGATTGACGTAGATCTTCTCGACAAATGTCGAGTCGTTGATATGCAGCTCATCAGGGTTGACACGGACGACGGGGCCTATGACCTGGTCAGATTCAGGCACCGGCTCAGATCTCAGCCCAGGCTCTGCCACGCGATATGCTGTCGGCAGTCACTGGAGATCTCGGATGGGGTGGCCGTACCGTAAACCTCATGCATGCGATGCAACTCCTCAAAGAACGTTCCTGGGCGATGAGGCCGCAGATCAAACCACGCCTCATACCATTTTGAGGCGGCCGCGAGCTTCGACCCGGGGAATCGTGCCAGGGGATGAAGATACAGTCGGTAGAAGATGATGACCGCATAATACAGAGCAAATGCTACGGCAGCAGAGTACCATAGGTACGCTGTCGAGCCGGTCAAGGTCGCCATCAGGGCCATTTTGATTCAATTGAGGTTCTGTGAACGTGACTTGGTGATGAGAATATCTGCACGCAAACAACGACGCTGCCTACGAGCCCATATGCGCATGATAAGTAAACCGATCTACCAACTCAGATCTACCAACTGTATTCTTTCCATTTGATTTCACTCCCCACACAAGGTGTTCAACTAACAGATGTCACATGTAATTTCGCCCAAGGTGTGCCAAGCCTTTAGTCACTCCTCACGCATCATTGCATCAATGCCAATGCCTTGGGGGCCATTGGTCTTAGAGGGGCCATTTTGGATGCAACGGGGTGAACGGCGTTTAAAATCCTGAGGGGGTAGCACCCCTCCAGTACTACCCCGGCATTGAAGCTGACGGCATGATGTTGCAACGATGGAGATGCCCCGGTACTGAAGCTGACAGCATAATGTTGCCACGATGGGGATACTACTCTGACGGGCAATCCTGAAGTTATGACCGTATGAAGTTAGTGGGGGAGAGTGGGATTATGCAACCCTCGACGGATACTACTGTAAACAGCAAGAGATACGCTGCTAGAAGTGACATGTCGGTACATAGGATCCGACGTGCATCTCGGCATGGTGAGCTGTCAGATTTTCGTAATCATGGGTGGTAAGACGTTCCCCGGACGCATGGATACGCGGCAGAGGATCGAAGGAGCATGGATACGCGCGCGCGGCAGATGATGCAAGGAGAGGCAACGGTAACGCCGACTATGCGCTTTAATCTGCTACCGCTTATATTACATTCAAATCAATACCCATTAAACCTGAAGAAGAAATATAATTCAATAATTGCAAAAGCTATTTCTAAACAGTTTGCAACGCCGAAGCTGCGTTGCAATGAGAATCCTTCAGCAACACGTGAACAAACCCCCTTGTTGAAATGCACGTTAGCCCAGCAACTCCGGCCTGATGCGCGCTCTGTAATATACACCCAAAAAAACAGTTCTATGGCCATGCATTATTTTATACCAGTGAATTTTGTGATTCCGTCCTGGCAGTCCTTTGTGCCCCATTCACAGAGAATTCGTAGGGCCTCAGTTCCATGGCCGGGTTTGCGTCGTGACCGTGGACCATGGTAGTCGTGGTTTTGCGGATATTCCTAGAGTCCATGCTTGTTTGATGACGATCGTCCCAATGGCGGCTCGTCTCCCCAGGCGAGCTCTCGAGTGCCATGAACCTCGACTGATTGTTGCTCGCCCCTGTCGATGAGTCCTTGGCGCCTCCCTTGCTGCTGTTCGTGACACGATTCGTCAGAGATTTGACTCCCCTCATGGCCCGGGCGCCCCAAACCCTGCTGAGAAAAGGCAGGCAACACGAGATGATGGCCATCGGAGGCTCAATGTAGATCCAAATAGAAGCATAGTAGACCGTTCCTGCAATAAGTACATGTTAGCTATCGGTGGCTATAACAATAGCCTAGTCGAAGAACTCACTGCCGAGATCAGCTGGATTAAAGTCCTTGGTATGGGCTGCCCGGATTGTGCTGGCAATGCATGCACTGCAAGCAAGTGTCAGTACTAAAGATCCTCGAGACGCAAAGTAGACCAGGAAGAAGGCGCTTACAGCGATCCGCACAGAAACGCGCCCCCGACGAGAATCTTCTTGACTAGAGGGAGCTGGAGCTTGAGTACCGGGCCAATTGGCACGGCCAGGATGAACCAGTCGATGAGCAAGTTGGAAACAGAGTTCCCCCAGAGGAAAGCAATCAAATCTATGCATGTTCCTGGAGTCTCGGGTATCCACGCCTTGCGGATAGGAGAGCATTGGAAAGCCATGCCGAAGATGTTTGACAGACACCAAGCCCAGGTAAGGCCAAGTAGAATCCAGATCGATATCCTAACCTTCTTCATGTGGCCGAAGATGCGTCTGTAGGAAAGCAGAATCGAGGTCTTGATCAGAGCGGTCGCTATACCATAGCTGAAGGAAGGAAAGACGATCAACTGGGACGAGTCAGTCAAGCGTACGGGTGAACCGCCGAGTCTTCCACTTATCGACTGATCACTAACCTGTAATGTCCTGGTGATCCTATCAGGGTATACCATCATATCCTCCATGCTCCAGCCCTCGCCGGCCCAAAAGGCAACTATAGAAGAAGCAACGTTAGCAAGTATGCTTCAAGACTGCTTCGCGACGCGCTCCAGCACATATCCCGAATGAAAGAGGGGCACAAATACTGCCTCAGACGGCAAAGATGACTGCAGCAGACCAACTTACGGAGGAATTGGCAAACAAGTTGCACTATGAGAAATATGAGCGACACCGCGAGGACGGTGTCGTCGCTTCCCCATCCTCCCTGGATTCGGATCGCAAAACGAGTAAAGGTCAGTACCAAGGCCAGGGCGGTCATGACGGAGGCGACAACGACGGCATTGACGGCGAGCCTGGCGATGCCGCTGTCGAGGATCTCTGCATCGCCAGTGCCCGTCGTGTTTGGGAAAGTCATGTTTGCGCAGTCGCAAGATGGCTCGATCTCTATGCGGTTGACTTCAAGAAACTGTTGGGGAACACATCATGCAGCCGCCCGAAGAGAGCAGCGCCTCCAAGAAAAAAAGAGAAAAAAGGCAAAGGCGGATGACGATCTGCTGCAGGCAGAGCAATAAGGAAGGTAACATGGTAAGCAACTAGATTCACAATCGACTCACCTGTCTCACCTAATGCCACATGGTCCATGCTGATTTGGCGGTATATCCACCCCGACTGTCACCGTGGCAGAGTAATACCAAAGTACTTTTCGGCAATCTGGCACAATATTATACATAGTACTATTGGGGGCCAATGTAAGGTGTGATCCCATGATCATGACGGAGGTATCCGAGAGCAAGAATTACCGGGTTGGGTTATTTGGCCACCCACTTTCTTCAAGTTAGCTACCCCCCTTCTGTAAAGTACCCTAAAAGCTTTCTAAAGGTCCCCTAGAAGGAAGATAACTTAGTTTTCTTTACTAAAATAAAATACTACTATTTTAAAGCTTCTTTTTTTTAAAAAATAAATATCAAAATATATATTAAAAGACTTCTATAATAATTAAATAACTTATACCAGATAGATACCTAGAGTAAGTTAGGATTAAATTAATTAGAGTATTATATCAAGTAGTATAATTAGAGTATTATAAGCTACATAGTAATTACTGCTAATATATAAATACTAAAAGCTAGTTTTAATAAAAGCAGTAGTAATAGTATTAATAATTATTTAAAAGAGTACTTAGCTAAATAAAATAAATAACTCTATATACTAGTAAAGTTTATAAGAATTTAATTTATATTTTATTAATATTTTATAATAACTTTATTTTACTAATATAAAATTATTTCTTATTAGATATTCAGATAGACTTATCTACCTACTTTATATATAACTTCCTATAGTCTTAAAGCAGCCTTTATTTATATTAAGATTTTTTTTATAAATAATATTATTAAAAACTGCTGCCCAACAGCAATCAACGGATAAAAATCAATCCAACGCCACAACCAAGAACGCGACGACCAGTAAATACAAGGCTCAACCCTCTCTGAATATGACCTCATTTGTCTTTCGCTTAGTACACAGGCTGAAATCTCGTTAAGCGTGTGGAGGCTCGGTGTAGTGGTTCGGTATTGGTGAAAGATGATCTGCTCAGATGAACTTCATGGAGTTAGCCGCATAGGACTTCATGTCATACCATTCTTCTTACAGATAAAAGTGCGAGGCCGATCAACAGCTGAAAGTATACCGCGACCTTGTCCGCGCGCTACATCACGTAGGAGTATCTTGTTGAAGGTACCTTGGCTCTGCTTCAATGACCCCGGATCAGACAACTGTGGGAAACTAGGCTGTTAGCAAGACACAAACTCTCCGAATTGCCGACTCTTCATGGATTAGTGCTGATAGTATGCTTGACGTGGATCAGCTGAGTGGGATTGTGATTCATCCGCGGGCGGGCTTGCTCGATCTCATATGCACTGGTCGAGGCAAGGAGGGGGACAGCTTATTGGTATTTCAAAAAGATCGACGGCCTGCGTTTTCTTTCTGTCCTGCCCCGGAGATCCCTCCATTCGTCTTTCCTTGAATATGTTAGGCTTCCTTACCCCTCGACAATTTGACAGCCTCTTATTAGCCTTACCAATGTCCGAAAATGACAACAATTAATGGCGTGCCGGTAGTAATGCTAGCACCGAATGGCTACACATTTGGATTTGATAACACTTAGAGGATTGGTGTACCCGATGTCTACTTCATCGCAGGTTTTGGGGGCGCCGTCTCGCTTCTTTTCTTCAGCCAACAGATGTATGTGAAGCTGTTCCTGGCTGGTAAAGTTTAGGTAGATGATTGTATATTTCTCACTTTTTCTTTCTTTTTTTTGGGGGGTTTGAAGCTTGGGACTGACTTATCTATAAGTTTTGCTCATAATATCAGTGGTGGGTTGAATGTTAGCCCAAGCATCATGATGAATGCTAACTTCTCGCCTGTGAATGGTTGATGGCATTCTCCATGTCTGAGTTTATGCTACGCAATTCTGTTGCGGATCAGTTTCGTGCATCGAGGCGCTGGATGGACTCTGCAGATATGTTTGCAAACGCAATTGGAGGCGTCCACGCTTGGGAATCACCAATCACAGATTATAACAATTTCCTACTGGTAATGGTTCTCTGCCGCAACAAGAAGCGAACTTGGGTTGCCCCTGCTAATTGACTATGTTTAGGATACGTATATCGCTGCCTTCTGCCCCATCTGCTGCTCGTTTGCGAAGTTGTCTCTTCTGGTTTTTTATCCCCAACTCTCTCTCTAGAAATGGTTTAAATAGCGGACTGGCTACGATTGCCATCATTGATTTTCGTCTGCCAACCGATTCAAAAAAAAGCCGGGATGCTACGATCACCCACGGCCATTGCTTGAATCTACCGAGTCTCTATATTGCCACAGCCATTGCGAACATCATTAGCGATGTCATTCTCTTTATCTTACCGTTACCGGTGGTTGCGGGGCTTCATATACCGTGACATTAGAAGATTAGTCTGGTAATCATCTTTGGTATTGAGTTGTTGACTGCCATAACATCGATTGTTCGCGTTCCCTTATTGCCACAGATGCTTGGCTGTTCAGATGGTCCTTGGATAGTTGGAGTTGTCAGCGTGTAGGCGTGAGTGCTCTCGACCTCTTGCTGCTACCTAGACTTTTGCTCACTTTTATGCATTGGCAGTCAAGTCGAAGATTACCTTATCATCATATGTGCCTCCCTCCCAAAATTCCGAAAGTTCATTCGACATGTCGAACCCAATCTCCTCGGCGTCGGTACGACAGCAAAACCAAGGCCAACGAAAACTCACACCCACCGACCCGCACACCTGTTACCAACTCCCAGTCTCGCCGCGACCGACATCGATACCCCCAATTTGACCCATAAGAGGGCCACGTTACTACTGAAACATTTGTCATGGGTCCTGTGAGTTCGAAGAACAAGGGCAAGGAAAGGGGTCTGGATCATATTGACGGCTGGGGGGACAGCGACTCCGAGAGGGCTATTGCTACCACTCCTCTAGGACCTAAAGGAATCGCCCGCACTACTGTTATTACTGTCGAGGTTGAGCACCGAAGCAGCGATGAGGGCAGCAAGCCATAATGTAATTGTAGTATTTCGGAACACGAAGTAAGGGATGAATACTAGCATAAAGGGCTAATGAGCATGCTAGAAGCTGTATAGACGGGTAAACCTAGAGTTGGAATAGAGTGGTAGCAATGCTACAAGTCTTAACCATTAAGAGAGCCCTGAAATCGGCATCATGTAACAAGCTATGGCTGGCAATTATTTGCCCAATCTCTAGTGATGGAGATCCTTTGAAACTAGTGAGATGTGTTATTTTTTTCGATAGCCAGGAGTGATCTGAGGCCCAATCTCCTTTCCAGATGAGACCTAGCACACACCGTTGTCCTATCGGGAGGGGTAATTTTCAAAAGATAAACCATGTATTGATGATTTAGGCTGCTTTGCCTAACTCTGGTTAATGAGATGAATTCGATTGTTGATCAAATTGATGTTCTCATGGCCTCCTTGCTGCTCAGCCTCATACGCCAGCCGGTACACATGGAGGTTCTCACAAAATAAACCTCGCTTATCCGTCCAACCTGTCACCTTTCTGATTTTGTCGGAGCCGATCCACTGTGAGAAGTAGAAAACGAGGGAAAGAGCCCCTTGGTTTTCTAGCTTGGAGTCTTTGCCTTGTGCATCTTCAACTGGGACGAACTCGACACCGCCGCTGAGCCCATATTCCTGGGCAAGTGCCGCAGCTGTCTCGCCTGCAGTCTCATATCGGTATCCGGAAATGTTGAACGCTTGACCAGCGACTTCTTCGCGTCGAGGATGCTGTGCAAGTGAAACGTATGCTTCGGCGCAGTCATCCACGTGAAGGGAGTGCATGACGCTATTAGGGTTGCCTGGAATGCGCAAGACATTCGCGCCTCTTGCTTTCTCGTTCTTCACATGGTCCAGGACGAACCCGTAGTAGCTACTGGAGTATCCGTATACCGAGGTTGGGCGAAGAATGATGGCATCAACTAACTCATGCAGATCGAAAACTCGCAGAGACGTCTCCGCCCTTACGCGTGCCGGGGGAAGAGCAGAAAGGATGGGAGATTCTTCCGTGAGAGGGGCGAGGCCTGCATCCCCGTGGAAGGGTGAAAGGGGGTAGTCCTTGCAACCCGAGCTCCAGAGAAGTAGTGGTTTGACACCACCGGCATTGCTTTTGGTGGCGAGTTCTTTGACAAGGGCACTGATCTTGGTGAAAAGGACTTCGTAATCTCCGAATCCCTCAATGTTATTTATGATAACGTCGAATGTTGGGGCCTGAGTGTACAACTGTTCCAGGAAACTCAGGTCGTCCAACGAGCCAACGACGGGGATGATTTCGTTGCGAATAAGATCAGCGGCCGACTCCGGCCTGCGAACAAGTCCAAAGACGCGATAGCCAGCCCTGATGAAAGCTTTGCATACGGCCGCCCCAATGTAACCATTGGCGCCGGTGATGAATGCCGTGGGAGGCTGGTGGCGGATTTCTGCCCTGTGTGCCATGACGAGCGGGTGGGAAATTGGGGATTGAGGGATGTGCGTGAATAATGATCTTGGTGAAAGAAGCGATCCGAAAAATGAAACAAAAGTCCCGCCTCGTTTTTATACATTGCAGATTGTGTTGCTTTCTGGCTGATTTGTCAGTCTTGGGATTGGTCCGTCGGCATAACTCGCGTCCGCCGTGTTGAATAATCACCAAATTCATGCGGCGCCCCAGAAATCTACCCACAGAAGCACTAAAACTTCAAGTAAATAGCGATTTCATGCAAGATTGAAAAATATTTGCTTATATCCATCTTCACCCACACAGTCTCAGCTACCTGAGGTTAACAAACCTCATATCTCGAGACAATGGTGCAACTAGCATATCGATTGTTCCCAGACGAAAACGGACG